ACATGGCAATGCCTGGTAACAAACTTTGCTAATTGGTCAGTCTCAGCTCTACATGATCATCTTTCTCCAATCACAGCAGATGTGGTTGATCTGCCACACTACCCACACTACTGCAGAACTAGGCCTCTGGTAATAGATTTCAAGCCATTCCTTAAGCCATTAAGGAATTCACAACTTTGTTGTGAATTGTGAACTGAATTGTGTATTGTGACACTTAATATAGTATACTGTATATGGAAATATGTTTTGTCTCCTTACTCTCTTTCTGAGTTAGGTCCAGTCTCACCAATACCGCTGTCTTTACCTCTCTAAAAAGTACATCTCCCTTTGGTTTGCCAAGCGTGAAACGAAACGGAGGGAGAGGGAAGATTCGTCCAGGCTCAGGTACACGGCCGCGGGACCGCTGAGTGAAGGTGTGCTGTTAGGTAACTAGGTGAAGGACTTCTGTCTGTGACACGTGACCGTCACCCTTCCCAGTCAGAAGTACCTGAGGAGGTGGCGTGAGCGCGTCCTGGTGCGGAGGTGTGACAACAGACGCATCCGGGTCCACTGGGCCAGCTGGCGGAACCAGACGGCCGCCGCGGTCCTCTTCAGACACCTGGTGAGCAGGTCCGCCTCGCAGCCGTACCCAGCCCAGAGATCTGCCTCTGTCCTGAACTGGGAAATATCTGAGGACACAATGGTACTCTTGATTACTGTCCAAACTGCTTGTAACAGGAATACTTCCTAGAGGGAGCTGGTTACAGTGAGAACAAGGAAGATAACTGTATACCTTTGAAACAACCTTTTGTTTCACTCACAGTCATGCCAGAGAACATTTTGTTCCCTCTAACACACCTCTCTGTCAGAGCCTTTAAACCAGCTTATTTTTCCCACAACCTCTGCGTCATTTTTTAAAAGCTTTGATTAGTTAGATATATTTCATCATTGGAACATCATTGTTGTTATTGCCCCATCCATCTGAACTTTCACAAATTTTTATCTTTATAGCTGGTGTTATCAGTTTAAGTTCTCGGTACAATAGGTACTTCAGATTGCCACCCTGAAAAGAATGCTAGTAGAAATGAAGATGGTAGTAAAAGTAGTTTAGTAGGATGCTGACAACAGTAATATGGATCAAATATGCAAGTATATTTAGCAGAAACAGAAATGCGTTGTGCTTTGACAGGTCCAGTTTTTTTTCTCATTTGAAAGACCTGAAAAGGAAATGACCAGACAGAAAATGTTTGTTGCTTCTACGTGCTGCAAGCTTGCAACATCCTCAGGCGACATATCAAAACACGCAGAGTGCTTGCTCTTTGTCGAGTCCTGCTTTGTGTGCTGGGTGCATGCGCAAGTAAATGTCAGCAGTGGCTTTGCCGATGTGAGAGTGACACCGGCTTGTCTCTTGTCCCTCGTCAGTATGCACACAGACTGCAGGAGCGGGCGTGGCTCGTCTGGAGGAAGAGGCGAATTCGAACCAGGGTGTCGGTGGCCTTTGCGGCCCACCACAGCAGAGCCCTGCTAGCACAGGTCAGAGATCAGGTTTGCAGTACACACAAACGCGGAGTTAACGAAAATCAATCCTCTTCACTCTTTTGAAGATATCTATAACTTTAAACAAGGGGTCAGGTTGATTTTAACACATGCTGTTGCATAAGTGCTGAACATATGGTCATTACAGGCTGGCAGGGGGTGATAGCTTTTAGGCATAGTTTGACTCATACAGAGGCCATATACTAAGGATCAATAGTTATGTTCTCAAACATTCAAACTCAGTGTAATCTCACTAAGATGGCATAATGACCCCACGTGCGTATATTTTGTAATGTCCTACTCAACTACCACCTTATCTTGATGAAGTTCCATTCCCATATTTTTAGTGTACTGGTTGTTGACTTGGGTACATGCATTCCATACTGTTGTACATGTTATGGTCATTATGTACAGTACAGTCGTTATGTCACTGTCTGAGCTGCGTATGGCACAGTGATATAACACATATTTTCATGTACCAGGTTACCGTTAAGAGTAAACTGCAGGGTCATGATGCAACACCGTAACGATGGCTGTAATATGCGGTGTGGTGTTGGAACACGTCCACAGGCCTTTGGGATATGGCGGGACCGTGCCCTTTGGCCAGCGTCAGAGGAGAGCCAGGTGGGCTAGCGGAGGGTGGCAGCTAAACGGATGAGCCGCGGAGCAAGACACGGGAGGACTCCACCCTGCACTCTGCGCGCTAGGGGGTTTCACAGCTTCCCTCAGGGCCGTGAGAGTTACGCCATAATGTCTTGGCACCTTTGAACTGGTCATGTCCTGATTTTTAGCATCCACGTTGTCACACATAGGGACGAAATAGCTGTATCTGGGCGAGAAGTCTGCTTTTGATTCTTTGGTGACTTCAGCCCGTTCCATTTGTTTATGCTGTCCTAATGAACGCTGTGAATGAGCTGGTTTTGCTGCTGCAGGCTGAAGCCAGTTAGGCGCAGTGTAGAATCCACGTTAAGTCATTTGAAACACAGCGCTGCCAGGAATCTCTGTTTCAGACAGCAGTGCTTCCCAGCAAATCCAGAGGGAAGCGGACGTGTTGTTTCAGCGTGGCTCCGTGTGCAATAACAAAGCGCCTTTGTCACAGAAGCAACACACTCATTCCGAAGGCATGTGCTGGAGCCGCAGTGCTGGCCTTGGGACTGGGCTCTAATGTAATGTAGTAATCATACACCATTATACATTGTACTCTTTCACCTTTTGTTATCTGGTTGCTGTCGAGCAATCTAATTGGTTTGACACCGTTTGCTCCACATTTGATGAGCCCAGCTTTTGTAAGGGGACTAAGTATTCACCCTGTACATAGGCCCATGCTCTCTGGTGAACACGAGGGACTAGATCTAGGGTCACTGCCCTGAGTCTGCTGTCTCAAACACACACACACACACACTCACACACACTCACACATACACTCTGAATATGTGCCCTCAGTCAGAAGGCTGCCCATGGCTATTAATACCCTGTGTGCCTCAGCAGACAGGCTCTGTGTGGATACCATAAGAAGCATCTGGAGCTTTCTTCTAAAGGAATGATTTGCAGTGGTGGAGGGAATAGTTACGCTTCCATAAAAAGCCCACCTCACTGTCCCAGAGGAGCTGAATCCAGCAGGCCTGTGTTAAAATAGTTTCCTAGTACTGTATTACCCACGGTGTAGTAAGTTCAGACTGTAATTACAGAATCTGGTAGGCACGTGAAAATGACCATTGCAAACAGTTTTTGCGCTGTAGTTGTTAAATAAAGAAGGAAAGTGGCCGATTGCTGGTTTTGTGGTGTCCTTGATTTGTGGTTTGTACATGCACAAAGCACAGCAGAAATACAGTCACCCTCTCCCATATCCCAGCTACAAAACCCCCCACAGCACAGCTGAAACTCTAATCCACTGCAGTTTAGAATTTGTTGGTATAAAAAAACCAAGGCCAGATTGGATCAAAAGTGTGAATTACATAGAGAATTGAACTCGCACACCTCGGGGAAATTTTACTTAATGTAGTTTGAACTAGGGGTTAATAGTATCAGGTGTGTGGTTTCTTGTAAGTCATTCGTTTGATTCATTCCAATCCTGGTATTTGATACTTAGTAGCCCTCCATTACATCCAGCATTTATAAATGAGTTAGCTGGTGTTACTCCACGCCAGCACATGTGTGGTAAAACTTGAACTGAAGCCAACCAGGTGGATGCAATTGGTTCAAGGTCATAAACTATTCGGTAGATAAGAATACACAATATTGTACTCTGGCCAATGTGGACATGCGGACACTCTACAACTTTGTGCCTGGAAGTGCAACGTAGCGTCAGCTGATAAAAATATACCCAATCCTCGCAAGTCTTGATGTGGTCCAAGTCACAGGCTTATCTGCTGTGTTTTGGGGTGTAACCGGTCCTTTTAATTAGGTAACTGGTTAACGTGGTCCTGGACTTTGTAACAACACCCGTTCATTAATCAATACCCACTAGGTGCACCTGATGAACTCTTGGATCACAAAAAAAAAAATGTATAAAAATATGACTGAAACAGGGAGCAGTGGTCTTGCAACCAGAATGTTGTACGTTTGAATTCCAGGTGGGGCAAGCTAACAGTAAGTTCGAGTGCCTCAACAAATACCGGATTTCCCAGTTAAATCAGATTCATATTTAACATGACTTCTGTGTTTTAAAAATAAATGTTATTTTTGTCCCTGCCACAATCAATATCCCTTGAAAGTGGGCTATTTTTTGAAGATGGAATTACAAAAGGAAATTTGCATTGTTTTCAAAATACTTTGTGCTTGCACAGACACACATGCACAGCAACCAACAGTGACTTGGCAGCAAGTTAGCAACATTGCTAGACCTGATATTACATAACATCAAGCTTGTTAGTCAAAAAGAGACATGCAGATTTTGCTTGTCAGAATAAACTGTTCTTAAATATGTATACAGTAAGAATTTGAAGATGACAAGGGGAGCAATGAAAGCATCTGTTTATTAAGCTTCACTTACCATCAGGATGGTAATAAATACGTGAACAAAACATACAAAAACAATCAAGTAAAAATCTTTAAGGAGAGCACTGTGTTGGACACTTGCTTGTTAAGGCTCCATACAAAACCACCAAGAGAAACAACAACACTCAAATGTATCAAATAATGGCATATGGTCAACCAGCACTTTAAAACAGTAATCATAAAATAATTCCCATTCACTGTTTTTTGTTTTGCAAAATCATGAGGTTTGGTAATCACAAAGCATTTGGCAATTTTCCTGGTACTCTCCAACTTTGGTGCAGTGGAGTAAGGTTTAGGCAGCAAGCTTAATGCGGTGAGATCGGTTGCAGCCATGTCTGTGGCCGTTTGTGTATTCTTTAAATTGCTAAAGGTTTTGACACCTTTCTAGAGAGAGCTTGTGGACCAACACATGTACAGCATAATGTACTCCAACTTCCAGGCCCTTACTGAATATGTATAAAGAGGTATATGTGTACTGTAAGGGGGGCAGCAGTGTGGTGCAGTGGTAAGAAGCAGGGCTCGTAACCAAAAGGTTGCTGGTTCGATTCCCTGCTGGGACACTGCTGTTGTACCTTTGGGAAAGGTACTTAACTCACAATCGCCTTAGTATATATCCAGTTGTATAAATGAATAAAACTGTAAACCTATGTAAGCTGCTCTGGATAAGAGCATCTACAAAATGACAATTATGTCATGTAATGTGATTCCACCAGAAACAGTTTGAAGCATTCAGAATCATCCATATAAAATGACACAAGTACAAAATTCTATATAAAATAAAGTATTTCTGTTAAACAGTTAAGCACCTCTTTCTTTTGTCTAAGTCCATCCTCTTCAATATTTTGTCATTTAGAAAGCACTGCTGTAGCTTCAGTGTGTGCGTCTTGCATCAACGCACACTCCGCAAATCTATGTATAAATCATTCTGTTATGCACTGCTTCAGAGCAAACAAATCCACTACTCCTCTCACATCACTGATCAACTCCATTTAACATTCTGTGAAATAAAAAAAGGCTAAGTACAGATTTCAATTTCATTTCTAAATGTATACACTACTGTTCTACATTTTATTCATTATATTAGTGTTTTAGAGTTCTTCATAGCAGCACTGGCAGAATGTGTACTCGGGTGGGGGGGCGGCTCAGCAGTAGGGGAAAGTGTCTATTCCAGGTTTTCCGGGGGCGAGTCCAGCAGCTCAAACATGTCGTCAATCACCTGCCATAGGCAGTTGTCCAGGGGGAAGTCGTTGTCCACCAGGTTGACGAGGTAGTAGTTGTCATGGATGTACTGGATGATCATGCGTGACGGGGACTCCTCTTCATACAGCTTGGCCCACTGCTCGATCCACAGGGCAAAGGCCTCATCCTGCCAATAAAACGAGCCTTCAGCTTCCTTCTTTATCAGGGAATTCCACCGATCATGATAGCGCTTTCTGTGTGTAGATTTTCGTTTTTCGCTACTGTTCTTACAATCAAAATATTCAAGTGGTTCATGGAACCATGTGAACTGTGAGAAGGCTTGTGAGTGGTTTCTGTCAGAGTAGTCACCGCTATTACCCTTACGCCACAGCTCTTTGCATTTGTCCCTGTTTAAATGGAGATCAAGCAGCTTACTCAAAATCATTTCCTCTAAATGACTACATTTACGCGATGTGCTGATGTGTGCACAAAAACAATGACCTTCCTTTAACTCTGATGAGGAGGAGCCTTACCTTCCAGTACATGAAGCTGACTGGATCCACCACAGTCGGCTGAACAATCTCCCGCCCAGGAAATATGCCCCATGTCACGGCGTTAGGTTGCATGTCGTGGGCATTGGTGGTGTTCTGACCCTGGGAAACCGGAACGACGAGATTTAACTCAACATGACAGCCAGAACGCCATTCCCTGCAGAGACTACGGTGGATGAAAGAGGTTTTACCTGGACATTGACTATATGATAATTCACGCGAGGTTCGTACTTCTTCAGGACTTTAAGAAGTGCCGTCACATTTTCACTTGACGTGAAAAACTCCAGATAAGCCTGTTGGTTTGAAAACATCACAGTCACACATTACAAAAATTTCCACTGTAACTTATAGAACATGCATTTTAAAAAGACCTGTGAACTCAAGCCACATTTCCCATTACTATGAATGTAGTTTCCCTCATTACATAATGCACGTATGTTTAGGTAACTTAGTTAAAATTTAACCCGTGGGAAGAGAGTGACGGATTTACATTATTGTCATTTACAACGTATTACAAAAAAAAAGAATATGGATGCTTTGATTGCACACGTCACAGTGTGAGGTTCCAGGGCCTCACCTTCTGGAAGACGTATCCCCCCGCAGGGCCCCAGCCCACAACGGGGTCAGAGGAGGGCTTGCCGTTGATGTTAGGCTGGGAGTTTATGGTCAGGATGCCACGCCGGTTCACTTTTTCCAACTCATCCTTCAAAAGGTTGGTCTCAGGGGCCAAAGGGTCATCGTTCCACGGCAAACACATCACCTAAAATTAAAAGAAAGAAAAAAAAAAAAAATCAGGAGTTCAGCAATTATCCTGTATGAACATGGGACACCATTCCTCTCCCTTTAAACCGCTGCAGAAGGACAGACACAGACTTAGCCCTCATCTTACAATAGGAAAACATTTTCAATCTGTAGGAACATGCGAGGTAGTGTTACCTTGTGTCCACTGCGGTTGGGCTGGGCTGTAATGTAGTTGGTAAACACCTCGAATACACTCTCCTCGCTCATGAGCTCCTCCCCCCACATCTTCAGCAAGGCATCCTTGGAAGACTTGCTCTTCAGGTAGAACAGGTAGTAATCGTTCAGCTCACCGAAGGCTGGAGAGGACGAGTTTCCCCTAATAGTTGAGAAAATAAGATCATTACCTTTAAGACCCCTTGCTTATCCAGCATATCAGACTGAGTTTACCAGCTTCCACTGGTATAAGCTGTATGCGTGTTCCTTATCCCATTACACGAAACCACTCCTGCACTATGCAAGTCAAATAACCAACTTGTTACTACTAAATGATGACTCTAAAACTTGTATGGTGAATAACATTTACAACACAATGAACTCCTTTATGCAAGCCCAGAAGAAAAAAAACACACCATCTTCCATTGGGGAACTCATCCCAGTCTTGAGTTCTGTAGATGTAGCTCTTGGGTCTTGAGGCCCAGAAAATTGGCCGGACGTCCTCCACTTTGCGTTTTGGGTGTGCGCTGACTGCCCAGGGCAGCGGTCGCCTTTGAGAAGAGAAGCAGTCATTGAAATAAAATCTTAAACCATTTCTCTATTGACCTGTAGGTATTTCGTCCAAAACCCTGCATTTTAGCATCACGCACAAAGTGATTCCTCGAAAATGTATGCACTGACCTGGGGTCCTCAATCCAAAGGCCCAGCTGTCTCAGGACCTCCATAGTGGCCACCTCTCTGTTGAGCGTGTAGAAGTGGAGGCCGGGGACTTCCCCACTTTCTAGAAGCACTTTGCACATGCTCACTGCCAGCTCAATGCCGTAGTTACGGATGGCAGCATCGTTGTCCTTGATGGGCTCGATAACCTGCTTGATCTCTTCTGGCACCTCCAGTTTGGACAGCTTCACCAGCTGTCGCAGTGACTGGTAACCCTAGAAACATGAATCATAAAGTCAAAGTAGGGTAAAATACATCCACAACAACTGAGTCCTTTAAAACTCTGCATCTGTCTGCTGAACAGGCTCCAACTGGATTCAAAATGAAAATTCAAACTCTGAATATATGCGCATGTGTCACATGGATTGTTCTAAATAAAATGGTCAAAGTGCATCAACTTCAAGCATCTCCTAGGACTTCCATCCACGTAAAAGAGGTTTATCTGTGTTCTCATTACCTGAATGGGGAAGATTCCAGGCAAAATCGGGCAGGTGATGCCGATCGCTCTGCAATCCCTGACGAATTTGAGGAAGGTGTCGGCACAGAAGAAGAGCTGGGTGATGATGAAGTCAGCCCCGGCATCCACCTTCTCCTTCAGGTGCATCAGGTCATCTTCGTAGCTCTCTGCCTCCGGATGTCCCGTGGGGTACCCTTTTTCAGCCAAAGACAAACACCACCACCTACATCAACCCAGGTGGCTCCTTTTTTTAATACTGTCTGGGGTCTCTATACACCCAGAGGCAAAAAATTACACTGTTGCTGAAGCTGCCAAAGGCTTACCGGCAACGCAAATGTCAAAGTAGTCATCAAACTCGCAGCGGATGTGTTTGACCAGGTCTGTCGCATAGTTGAAGCCTCCTTCTTCTTCCTCCCACTTGTCTTCCATGGGATCTAATGGCAAAGTACACAAACATACATTCAATACACTCAAATTTGCCAGGCTTTCCTGCACAACCTCTGGATTTCCTTCCCCATGAGCCTGCGACAGCTGAAGCAACCTAAGGTTGTATCTGGCATACCTCCCCTGAGGGCCATTATGTTCTTCAGGCCCAGGCGCTTGGCTTTTCTCAGGTGAGCAGTGATCTTCTCCTTGGTCTGGTTGCAGCAGGTCAGGTGCAGGATGCTTTCCAGGCCGCAGTAGTTCACAGCCGTACTGGCAATCATTATGGAGGACGTCTCTTTGTCCGACCCGGGATCCCCTGCCGGGTGCCAGGTGATGTCAATGAACAGTGGGCCCCCTGATCCCATTCGATCAAACCTGCAAGACAGTTACAGTTAATTATTCATTTAGCAGACGCTTTTATCCAAAGGGACTTCCAGTACATTGGAGGTATACAAGAGTAACAAGAAGCCTGAGCCAAACACACACAGGGAAAGCTTTCCTTAATGCTCTTAGTGTATAAAACACAACATCATAGCATTGAAAGCATCAGCTTCATGACTCTCATTCTGGCTATATCAGTCTGACCACCTCATCTCCAAATGGATTTGATTAAATCACTCAGTCCCCACCTCAGCTGATGAGTGGTGGACTATCTGGCATAAAATGGCTGCCAAGTATCACCCAGGTGGGTGACTAACATTCACTGCAGTGAGCTGAGGTCAGCCACACTCCACACAGTAAAGTGCTTGGAGATTTGCGATAGGTGCTACACCAAAGCCATCCACAAGTTTTGCGAGAGACACTCAACGGGATAAACCACGCGGGAGCTCGGTGATGACCGGAGCACCGACCTGGAGATGAGGTTGACCGCTCCGCTGGCGGTCCGCGGGGGGAAGAACTCCAGCGAGAACCAGCGGTCGCCGGACTCCATCCTGCGCCTCATCTTGTCACGCAGCCGGTCGGTGCGGTCGGCGTCCAGCACGGGCGTGGAGCAGCGGGAGCTCTCCTTGGAGCTGTCACTCCCGCTGTTGCTCGCCCCGCTCGAGTCGCTCTTCCCCGTCTGCCAGCCTCCATCTGTGCGCTGAAGCTGGTTCACCATGGTCTCAGAGGGTAACTGCGTCAGGGGCACAGACGGGGAACGTCACTCATAAACGAATTCATCAATGAATCTTTCTCTGCTGCCGCTCCTAAAGGGGAAATCTGTGCAAAAATGGAAATCCAATCTTTTTCTGGGCAAGCGCTTACATGCACAACTGAAAATACCAGACCGTGACATGCAAGC